TTGTTGGTTTAACTAAAAAACTGAAGTAACCTGGTTGCCTTAACTTTAAGTTCATTGAAATTGAAAAATTGAGTTAATACAATTTAATTGATTTAGGAGATTGATTTAATATTCAGAAACTAAAAATATTATGTTATCTGAACCACATAAATTATATAAGTTGATTTGACAGAATCAAAAAAAAAAGTTATGATAACAAATCATGATTTTTTTTTTCTTTTACAGTGTAGGCACGAATATGACACGCTATTTACATCTGCTGTGAATGCAGCATAGCACGGACAAATTGTACCCACTGTCTGAGGTTTACCTTGTACACCTACCATATCTATCTATCTATCTATCTATCTATCTATCTATCTATCTATCTATCTATCTATCTATCTATCTATCTATCTATCTATCTATCTATCTATCTATCTATCTATCTATCTATAATCTGTGCTATCTGAATACTTTTGTCTACTACTCGTCTCTCTAGTCACTCTCAATGCTCTCAAAGCGGGCTTGGTAAATTCTCTCCCCAAGGTGACTTAATTCAATGCATTGTGGGGGAAAGGAGAATCGTTGCAAACTGATGTAAGATAGTACCAAATTCTTCGTGTTATAGTCCGTTTTGTGATACTCAACAACATACAATGGATATCAGTTTAAATGTTTATTACCAACAAGTAAATTACACAAATTCGTTGAAAAATTAACCCTGCAACACGGCCTTTAAGTAGAGAGTGGGAATTTCTCTGCTTCTCAGGGTCTTCTCACACAAAAATGGAAAAACACACACATGGTTTTTCTCTCAGTGGCTAAAACAACAGCCTGAGAAAACTCTCACTGTATCTGCAGACTGAAAAAAGAGCCGTCTTTCTCTCATTTTCGGCACCCTTACACCCTGTTTCGTCTTCTGTCCGGACTTCTCATCCGATCAGGTTTCCCTCCCAGAGTCGCTCCGCACAGCTGCACACTTCTTTTAATCCACCTCTCGTCTCTTTCGCACACACACACCTCTATCATCAGTATTTTTATACAAAATTGCCAGGGAAACACTGCAATTTTTTTTGAGAGATTTAGGATTGAACAAAAAAAAAAAATAAAGACACCAATTGAAATCAAGGGAAAAAATCTCTGTGATTGTAAACACATGGGCGGAATTACCATAGAAACCAGCTAGTTGCATTAGCACTAACATCCTGTCAGTTGATTTACAATTACAACAATTACAGAGTGAACTTTGAAAGAAATTCGCCCCGAAAGTGACTCAAATATACCACTGAGGCCGTTCTTACAAGGTTGCTAAAGAGTGCATCCAAGTGACGGGCTCTTAATAGTTTTTAAAGCTGAGGTTATGTCAGAATGAGTGTGTCCGGCTAGGCTATCAAGCATAGCACATAAAACATAATGGGCCGCCTGCAGGAAACTAAATATAGATGGTGTTTTGATTACGTGAAAATTGACATTTCAAAGGAGATTAGGATCCGGCCACTAAAACAACACAGTGAAGAGCCGGGAGGCAGAAGCTGAGAGAGAAAGCTACTGTACCTTTACACGCTTAGCAACACACAGGCACATGCTCACTTTTTCCAGATCGAGCTACCGTGAGTGTGTTTGTGTGCGGGAACGTCACTACGGCGACTAGCTTGGCTACTCTTAGCCTTCCTTTCACGCGATCGCTAAGTGGTTGACCCCGTGACCCCAGTCTCGTTGGAGCGCACGGAAGTGCTTCCTTTGCTATACGGCAGGTGGAACAGATGACATCACCAGCGAAGAGCGTCCCATTAATGACTATTGGCTGTTTTTTCCGACATTATTCTGACATTACTACCACATTATTGTTGTATTAGTAGTGTCATTATTAGCCCAGGTGTGTTTTTGCAGTGAGCAAACCCTCTGTCGCTCTGAATAGACACTATGTGGGCCAAGATTGAGATGGGACAGGGCGCCGGATAGCCGACACGAGAGGCTTCTCACACGCACACGTGCTTACAAAAGTCAAACTGAGTTCATGAACACAACATTGTTCCTTTTTGCATGTATGCAATTCGTTGTGAGTAGACAGACATATCCTATAGTAAACTTTAGTTTATGTATTTTAAACCAAATATTTTAAAAAATACAATTTTTAAATACAATCAACTGGGATGTTTAATTCAGTTCAACTTAAATTGCATGGAATTGCCTTAAAAAATTTAAAACTATGTTGTAACTTATTGATCATAATATATATTTTTACAGTGTGTAATAGCATAATAGCATGTAATACTGAGAATTAAATAAAACAATTAAATTCCTTTTAGATTTTTCTTTTTTTTTTCTTAACAGTGTTTTCAAAAAAAAACAGTTTTTCTTTTAATATCCTTTATATTTACTCGTCCTTTTATATATAGTCAATTTCATGTCATATATATTAATTGTTAGTCAAATTTAGTTGACGGAAAAAGTGCTAAATTAAATATTTAAACTTTACTTCTACAAACACTTTATTTTACAGTGTCATTGTTACAAGTTACATGCAGTTTCTGTAGTAATAGCTATGGATTATGCATAATTACATGCAACTAACCCCACACCCCAATCCTTACCCTAAAGTAATGTGCTTAATTGTATAAAGTACACCTTAAAATAGTGTGACCAACTTTTTTATACCATTTTAAAAATGTTTAAAGAATGTATCAAGACTTTACTATCATTGGAAACAATGAAATAACATTGAACAATGAATCAATCTTATTCCTTTTAGATGTTTCATCACCAAAAGACATTAAGATCTTCCAGTGTTATTTTTTCATTATGGTCATGATGCATATTTTCAGTCTCATCTTCAGTAGCAAACATTTTTGTTAGTAGCTTAATTGACGAAATGAACATTTGTGTACGTTTGTGCACCCCATAATTATCTTTCAAAACTCCCCAAACTACTCGCGCTCTCATGCGACGCCTGGATCACTGTGAAAGCTATCATGTTCAAGAGAGCATAGGGATCCTGAGAGCTCAGGCCAGACATGACGGTCTTCCTCTTTTAAAAGAGCATCGTCATGGAGACGCTTCCGACACCACACAACGATAAATGGCAGAGCCGCAAGAGATATTCGGTTGCACGCACACACGCAACAGCAAATGCACGCAATTAAAGAGATGTTGTTCATTTCACATCCACCTGGATGTTAGAGTCTCGGCGAGAAGCTTGCCAATCGATGGACTTACAGATAAGCGATCAAAAACACAGATACGATCTCACGCACACACACATTTCATGTCTGATTATAGTTAAATGGGGTTGTGTTGAGTCTGGTCGCTATACACACAGATCTGGACTCACCCTAAGGATTTTGGGTAACGGAACACTGCAGATCCACATCTCAATAAGTGTAGAAACAGGTTTCCTCTCTCGCTCGTTCTCTCATTTCATTCCGTTTCTTTCTTTCAATCGCTCACTTTCCTCATGCCATAATGCATTTTGCTCTTCATCTTGTTCATTTTCTGTATCATGCCTATTAAACAAAACAAACAAAAAAAGAGAGAGAGAGAGAGATCTTAATGGAACAGTTTGAAGATAATGAAAATATTGTCATCTTTTATTCACTGTCAAAATTCCACTACTTTTTGACTTCAGCAAAACACAAAAGGAAAGATTTTCAATGTGTTGTTTGCTCTTTTAATTGCAATTGGAAACAGGAGCTTTCAAAAAGCACTATGAGGGCCCGTCCACCCGAAGACGCGTTTTGCTGTATACATAATTATTTTTTTTCATATTGGCGTTTCGTCCAGACGGATCTGGCGTTTTGGGAGAGTGAAACCGCTATTTTTTGAAACCGGGTCCCAAAGTGGATAAATCTTAAAACGACACCCTTGCGGTTTCGTGTGTACAGCCAATCCGTATATTTTGTGAAATGATGATGTCATCACATCACGTGTCGGCTTGCGTCACACGCCATCTTCGTCTTCTTCTTGGTTCGTATACAGCACGCAAGGTTATGCGCATGCTCAAAGTCTTCTTCTCCGTGTATAGTGCATCTCTGTGGCAGAATCACAGCGCCCCATACTGGTCTGGCATATATACTACACCGTTTTCAGTCGGTTTTGTGTGTACGCAGATATTTCTTGAGATGACGCCGTGTTTACGGATTTTTTTTTAGAACGAGGAAAAAAAAATCGGATAGGTAACGCACCGGCTTTGTGTGGACGTGGCCTCATAAAAAGTAATGTGTGCGATATTTAGCTTTGTGGTGCTAACATACCAAAATTGAAGTTATTACTACCTAATAATCTTCACTTCCAGTGAGCTGTTCCACCCTGAAATCAGATCATTGAGTCAGTGAGTTGGAAAATCAGTTTAGCTTGATTGGTGAATGAATTATTCAGATTTTGCAAACTTGATCTAGTGATTCTTTGAAAAGTTCAGATTATAAAGAATGATTAATTTGGGATCTTATTAGATTGAGATCAAATTGGCACATTTGCCTAAATTCAACATGAAATGGAAAATACTCTATTTTCTATTGTAAAATGATTCATTTACCTTAATTTTCAAAGTGTCCAGATCTTCCAGGAAAAAATGGCCGACTTCTCTCTGGTGATATGCTGGATTTCTGCAATCATTTAGTACCCTAAAACCATAGCCTGTTCTTACAGTCGACTGCAAGCTCAAATTCAGATCTGCCTCAGTCCAAGTATATTATTTTCGATTATCTATTTGGGATGTATGGCAAAATACGGAACAAAAGATTTGTCTTACATTGCAACGATAAGTCTCCTGATTTTTCTTCTGAGAAAAGACCCCAGTAATCTCAAAAGTATCAGATATTTCCATGGTTTCAAAGTCTGCCAACAAAAGTCAGATTTCAGTGTCAGCTCAAGCGTTTTTCAACAAATATTCCAAGCCTGCATAATCTTAGCTATGCAATCCACTTTCATTTTAGCTCTGTACTCTTATTGTATGTCGTCAAATGACAATTGTTGTGTATTGACTTATAAACAGACAGGGTATAAGGTATTTTTGGAGAAACATGCTTTACTGATTGAGTCTCATGAGGTATGAAAGAGAAATACAATTGTTCAATGGTACAGACATTATGATTCTATCTCAACACATACACATGCACTTCTCCTGGCTTTCCCTCTTTGGTGTCCTGATTTTCCAAAACATCTTAGTGAGGGAGAATGAGAATTAGAGAGAGAGAGAGAGAGAGAGGTGGGGATCATCGTAGGGTCTCTGTGGACATTTTGGTGTGGTAGACAGGCCTGACCGGTCTGCTCTTTATTTAACAGTGGGAGTAAAGAGAGATGAGCTCTGTGTGCAGATAAATATAGTTTGAGAACAGGCTGGGGAACTCTTCACAACCTAACGCCACCTAACTTTCTCAGACAGAGAGAGATCTGAGCACTTTTCCCCGGTTAAGACTCGATTGAATGAATTACAAGACGCAGGTCATCAACGACCATCAGTACACACACTCATGTGGCCAGATACAGTATAGTTTATACACAAGAGATTGGATTACGCCAGAGAGAGATAAACCACCTACACATACTGAACTCCAGCACATACACGCTTTCAAACCAGTGGAAACACAGCAGGTTGTCAGTTACAAGCTGACCTTCCAGGCACTTTTGGCCATCGTATGTACGTGTAAGCCAAGAAAGAAGGACAGAAAGAGAGAAGTGACACGTACACACACATTCAAATGTGTCCAGCTGCTCCCTCGGGTTGCTATTAGTTTGTAATTGTAATGAGGATGAGAGAGTTGGGGAGAGCGGCTTCAGGGCAAGCCACAGTGGAAAACCTGCAGAAATGATGTCAGAGCAATCGCGACCACCGATTGGAGTGGAGATTCCCGACGAGAGCCTATAAAACCGGGAAAGACAACAGCAGGAACCAGCAAAGGCAGAGAACGTGAGAAATTCCAGGAACTGCACGGTGTCCATCTGTCCGTCCCTGTGTGACTGAAACCGAATCTGATTAAGGGTAAGTAGCCTTGAAGAAAGACCAACCTTTATGTTCCTACAGGGCTGTGTGTGTTTGGGTGGAAAGGTGAGCAGACAGGTGTTGAAGATGTATTTAAAGACATCTGTTAGGGGTTGGTGCAGAATATTAGTTGGTAGAGGATCTGCCGTTTGATAAGCAAATGTGAATTAGTTTGAGCTCCAGGGTTACAGATGAACCTGTATCCTGTTGATTTTGCATTGTTGCAATAGTGACACAGAGGTGTGAAATCATGTCTGATATTAGAGAACCGTTGAGAGTGTCTTTGAGAGAGTGAGTGTGTATGTGTGTGCATGCAGGGTGTCCAGTGAAGAGTGTGTGGGCAATGGGAGATGGCTGGAGTTGTTTATTTTTGGGGACGGAAAATGCTAAAGTTAGCCCATGTTGCTGGACAATGCATTTCCCCAGTTGTGGGGCAGGACAGGGGCCGCACCTGGTCCGATGCTCAGTGCACCAGGCCTGGAACAGTGAGGACGGGACACTCTGGGTCAAATAATAAGTGAAAATGCATTACTGGAGCATTTCGGAAACATACTATACAATCCTGCCAAATAGTTTTGAATCATTTCTAGGAGAAATACAGTGGCAGGTGTTCGTACTCGGTGAGAAACTTTGTTATATTTCTTTAAAAAGGACAACTGACAATAAAAGAAGTGCAAAATAAAATCATGGATGATTCAAGGTCAGAATTTCACAAATATAACATTTAGTTTTGTTTATATCATTGTCTATCTAATCTATTGGTAACCTATTATTAGTTGTGGTAGAAGTGTTTTTTTTTTTTTTTTTTTTACCAGTCACTGAAATTTGCATTTATTTCATTTCATTCATATATATTTTAAAGTACTTAAAAAATAAATTGTGTTTAAAAGAAAATTACACAAATTTCACTAAGGTTAATGCCATTTTAATGGTAGTGGTGCAATGCAATTCAACACAACTGCCAGCAGACAGCAGTCAAAATGTAGGATTTAGTGCATTGTCATAATCTGAATAAGGTGGTTTTAGGAGAGAAAAAAAAAAGCTAAGATAGTGGTGATCTCTTAAATATAATATTTACAGTAATAAATTTATCAGCACTATAAAACATTTGTTTAAGTGATGCGAAACAACAACGTGCAGTCTCGCTATGAGGAAGTGTTTTTTTTTTTTTTTTTTTTTTTTGCGAGTTTGGTTAAGAGTGTGTTTTGGGGACGCACAGGTAGGGGTACAGGTCAGAGTATGTGTTTGGGCTGAGTTCATGTGTTTGTGTAGAGGGTGTGTGTTAGAAGCATTCTCACACTCTCGCGGCTGCCGGACCGCCCAGTCAGAGTGTATTTTCACAGATGGAGTCTGGATGAATGTAAACATCGCCCTGTATCACAGTAATCCAACACGGTGCTGAAGCTGGAGTGTGTGTGAACTCTCAATTGACAATGCACTGACACAGGGACATAAAAATTGTAATCACTGTAATTATGTTGTTAAATGGCTAGATAATATAGATAGATAGATAGATAGATAGATAGATAGATAGATAGATAGATAGATAGATAGATAGATAGATAGATAGATAGATAGATAGATAGATTGATTTTGCTTTACTGTTCTTTTGATCAAATAAATGCTTCGTACATTGGTGAGCATAAGAGATATTGTTCAGCAACATTTAAAAATCTGACCGACCCCATACATTTTAATGGTAGTATATATGTACGTGATTGTCAGAAATCACATTATTAATATTGTATTGTAGATGCTGGGCTGTGGATGTGTGCTGCTCTCTAGTCTGCTGACACTGACCTTGTTCCACTGCAGTGTGGAAAGTCTTCACATACCCCAAGAAAGACCAGAGGTAAGTCCAGGTCTCACTGATACACAAATAGAGAGAATAAGGTTAGATTACATTTTGTGATTTGTAAGGAAACATCACTCTGCCTGTCTTCAGACAACACAAACAAAACAGACTTCATGTATGTGATGAAATTAACTGGTACAAGTGACAGATAACAAGCTGTCATCAGTCTCTCAGTGCTCTATAAATACAGTGGGGTTTCCCCTAGAGAGCCACAACTGGAGGTTACCAGTGCCGTGCCCTTATGAACCTGAGCTACCTCTCTACCCGTCTGAGAACTGACCCACTGGGTCCAGTAGCACCTCATTGCAGTACACGAGATCCAGGGGGCAGAGTTGGACCCAGATCTAAGGGGTGGAGATGGGTAGGATTAGGGGTGGGGTTAGGGTTCAGGTGTGGAGATGGGTAGGATTTAGGGTGCGGTTAGGGATCAGGGGTCGGAGATGGGTAGGATTAGGGGTGGGTTTAGGTATATTTAAGGTGGGAGGAGTTGGATCTGGCGAACCAGCTGTAGTATTGCATCTTAAAGGGTTTGAGTTGGCCTTACAAGCTGTATATATATAGCTTGTGATTTTACTGACAATTCAGACTGATCTCATGCAATGATATCCGTATGTACAATATGACAAGCCAATTCGTATTTCCATTTTTGGCGTGCTATCAACACGCATAATCGCTTCTCAGCTTTTTTTATGAACGCCGTTGACTTAACGTTACATTACTGTATATATAAATATATGACCTACCCCAATCCCGTCCCTAAACCTAACCGTCACTGGGGTTAATACCATTTATGAGTCTTCCCCTTCCATCCTAGCAAAAAAAATATCGCTCCCCAGATGTAGATCTACATTATGCTTTGTTTCGCTCGGACATTTAACGGCATGTACATACACGTGGAATCACTCGGGCATTTAACAGCATAGACATACACACATACACGCGGATAGCTCAAAATGCGTAAATAGATAACGCGCCACTTGACTTGAAAGTGGCGTGTGTGTTTACGCAAAAGTCATGATGTCATGTTGGACAATTTTGAAAACTGAATATTACCATGCCTTTCCTCATTTTGATCTAGTATGTGGAATCATCTGTCATGGAGGGCCGCAGTGTCCTGCAAAGCCAAACTGAGCAGAAGGCCTCAGGAGCCGTGAACGTTAAACACCTCCTGCACGACCAGCTGGTCCGACTGGAGAACGACGTCATCGAGACCAAGAGGAAAAGGAGTTTCCCTGGATCCAACACGCCTCTTGATCGCCTGTCAATCAGCACCATGGATCCCAAAAGCAACAAGCAAAGGTAGAGGACAAGAGAAAACGGTTTCATTTTAGTTTGGAAAAAAGAAGTGAAACATTTATAACAGGAATAAATAATAAAATGTCATGATTAAAAATTTCACATTATTATTTTAATAATAATTTTAACATTTTGGGTTGATTTTTAAATTGCCTCAATTAACTAAATCATTAACACTGTAAGTTTTAATTCAAGAAAAGCATACAAAACACACTTTTGATTTGTTGTGATCCCAAACAGATGATGAACCATAAGTAGCTTTGATTGGCTGTGGCTCAAACACAGTTTTTATTGGCTGAAGTCAGTCGTGCACAGCTTGATAGTTTTGTGTGTTTTACAGTTCACTATAAGAGCAATTAATGTTTTGTCTGTAACCCACAGTTAAAGTTACTTATATTTCTTGGGTGGAGTCACAGTGGTGTGGATTGAGGTTTTGTATGACATAATAAGCGTCTGATACTGACTTACGGGAACGGACAGTCCAACTGTGCTGACGACTGTATCATCGGACTTCCAGTCAATGATCAAAACTGTTTTATCTCAGTGAATGATTTGATCTTCCTGCCGGACGGAACACGCAGTGTAACACAGCATGGCCTGAGGCTCTGTCAAGGCTCTATCTAAATGATCCTCAGCACTTGATCAGATCAGGACAGAAGCCAAGAACAGCAGTGAAAGCAAAGCACCACACTGCATTATCAAATCTCAACACCTGAATCCATCTCTCATGAGCCTGATAAACATGATGAAAGCTCACGAAACCCCTCCATAATGTGACTGTTCCCTGGTCCTCAGTAAAGATATTCATTTCGAAAGCAAATGTTGGATTCTGTTTCTAGTCTTCTAAAGAAGGTGTGAGATCATACAGTATAGTAGTGTAACGGAAGTCATGGTTCGGTTTGGGGGTTTGATACAAGTTCAGAACGTTTACATGTCCCCATAATAACTTACTTCACCTTTCCTCAAGGATACAGCGAGTGAAGCGGCACCTGAGGCTTCCCGTTTTCACGAGGACACGCATATTTCATCACTGAACTGAACTGAGCAATGTAGTTGTGAGACTTCCACAAGTTACGACACAAATAGACACATTGCCAAATGATTTAGTCTTACCAACTTATAAAAAAACTCCATAATTTATGCTCATACATACGAGTAAGACATCATTCGAAACTGTAATGAATACATGTACCGTTACACCCCTAATACAGTATGATTGCAACTTCCAGGCAAAAATCATAGGCTGCTAAATTTGACACATATCCATAGAGTAAACATAATAGGCTGGACCCTATGAGCAAAAGTAAGAAGCTATTGCTAGTACTGGAAAACTAGCTTACTACTTACTAAATACTTCAGTAGACCTATGGCTGTATTCAATTTTACATAGTAAGTGAAATATTAGAATGCCACACCTCATTGGTTCATTGCTGTGTAAACTATTTTACCTTAATCATCAATCTGATTAAATTATGATGGAAATATATTTTAAAACTCAGTCCTGAAACTTCAGTTGATTAATCACATTAAAAATGGATGGTCAATTGCAAGTTTGTCCACTTTGTGGGATATTTCATGCAGTGTGCATCGTCATATAGCCTAGGCCTAATGTAATTTTACCAAATGTAATGTAGGTCAGTCAGTATACAGAACATTTGTAAAATATACGACGTGTATGCTATTTAAGTTTCTAGTAGCTTTTATAAACGTGCCTTAAACATTGTGTGCATTGAGAAAAACAACGGCACTCATGTTGTAAGATTATGTCAGTGCAAGTAGCTTTCAGCTCAACATGCATTGTCTGGGACTAGGTTTAGGCCTTGTCTGTGGAATGAGTAGCCTATGTCATGATTATGGTGATTATTTTTATTTTTTTAATTAAAATTAGAGGAAAAAAATAATAATTTTACCACAGCATATTTTTTTTTTTCTAAACTATTTTGCGGAAATGGGTTTCCATAATTTTGAACATCCTACTTGCCTCAGCTTCATTCCTGAAGGCTGGCGTGTCTTTCCACTCGGCAGTGAATGTGAAATAAAACGACAGTAATCTGAAGGAAATCTGGTTTCTTTTCGTGATCTCCGCAGAAAGGCCGAGTTGCCGCGGCGACGAGTCAGCGTTCCTATAGACCGGATCGGCGTTGGTCGTCTTCCCAATCCCAACAGCCGAGGATAGACTCCGCCTGCCTCGACCACACCCCGACAAACAGGTATCAACTAAATAACGTTATACCAGTCTAAGTAATCTCGTTAAATGTTTTGTAAAAATGAAAATATCTTGTTTGTTCTTTTGTCCACAGAGGGGAATGTCGCAGGTAGATGAAATGCATGATAAGCACACCAGCCGACAACTCACTAGCTAACCACTGAATGATCACCACACTTTTAATAATCGCTTTTCCAGAGCTGTTCTTTCTCATTGATTACTGACGAAAACGTTCAACGTTGCTCAAACGGTTTATGTTCGGATCCATCATCATTTAAATTCAACATCTAAACTGCGTTCCTATTTCCGTTTATGATGTCAGAGGCATAGCCAATCAGAGAGGAATCTGCTCATAGAATCCGTTGCATATCATATTTACTCACGACATCTCGCTTGCTGTTACTCGCTGCTCGCTGTACTGTACACAACTGTTGTCATTTTCTCAATTTGACTGAAGGCTGTTCAGCCTTGACAATAAAACAGATTCAATTCTACAACCGTCTCTCTTATTTCAACTAATATGCGAGCTGCTAAAAAACCTCAAAGAGTCCACTATTATGCTGATTAGTGAACCTGCTATGTATGAATGTTCAATATTATAATTGATGATACCTGGTTGGTGTTGATCCCTTGTAATTTCGGAGAATAGAAGGGGACAATAAACATAAGTTGTCAATTTAAAGTTGACAAAGAAATAATATAGTAGGCTAATGATGCTTACACACTAAACATTAGATAAATAGAGCATTTCTTGAAACATTTATTTGACCAACATGTGCAAATACAACAATAAAATCAGTGCATTTCTTACAGAAAAAATAATGGCTTTTTTAGTAGCGTTTATAAAAGTATAACATGGGTGTTATTAAATAGATCATGCGTTTCATCAGGTAAATGATTTGTTGATATATACGTTTGATTGTTGCTTATGTACTATAATTCAAATGTTTGTGGTAGGTTAAATTAAAAAAAGTAAAAGAATAATAATAGTTTGAAAGAAGTCTTTATGCTTACCACCAAGGCCGTATTTTTATACTATTTTAATACATTTTAAAATGTTATTCATTCCTGTGATGCAAAACTGAATTTTCAGCATCATTACTCCAGTATCCAGTGTCACATGATCCTTCAGAAATGATGCTGATTTGATGCTCAAGAAACGTTTCTTGCTGCTTCATATTTTTGTGAAAACTGATACTTTTTTTCAGAATTCTTTGACGTTCTTTGAAGAACAGTTCTTATCTGAAATAGAAACCTTCTGTAAAATTATAAATGTCTCTACTGTCACATTTTGATACATTTTGCATCCTTGCTGAATAAAAGCATTCATTTGTTCATAAAGAAAAAAAAAATTATACTAACCTCAAACTTTTGAACAGTAATGTAATACAAAATGCTGTCTTGATAGGCTAAAGACCCTAACCAGTACTGAAGGACAATACACTTTTTGTAGAGTGTTTTAAACAACAGCAGACCAAAAGAAAAAATGAAACATCCAAGCACAGGGACAAATGAGGTGAGTACAATGCTATTTGTCATAATGAATATGATTCTGACTGGTTGATTCAAGCGTCCGGCGCAAGCTCATACCATCCATTAATGAATTCACAGACTGCGAACTTGTATGAAATATAAAAAGTCCATGACTCAGGAGTGAAAGTGACCAAATAAAAGAATTGGCACTACTGGGTGAAACTCTTGTTCACATTAAGAAGCAGAGAAAAGTTTTTTTGTTACAAATGGTCGGTGGTGATGGCGCAGTGGATAAGACACATGCCTTTGGTGTGAGAGACCCGGGTTCGAATCCACTGTGAGACACCAATGTGTCCCTGGTTGCTCCAGAGGCATGCGACCTCTGACATAAATAGAAATTGTAAGTCGCTTTGGATAAAAGCGTCAGCTATGTAATTGGTAAGAAATGGCTCTGCTGCTGCTTTCCGACACCCTCACCATCAGCGCTCCACATCCATGTGCCCATGTAGCCAGTGGACGTAGTTTGCCACCCGGGTGTACACCCCATACACCCTCTGACTGCCACACTCCTCTGGCCCACCCCAGGACACCAATCCTTGTGCCACCCATCTGCCACTGCGGGAGTCCTGGGTGACAAAGGCTCCCCCACTGTCCCCCAAACAGGTGTCCGGTCCACCCTCGTAAAAGCCAGCACAGAACATATTGCTGGTGATATTGTAGTTGACGGAGCGTGATGCATAGCTAGCTTTGCATTCGTCCTGCGGCACAACCGGAAGCTTCACATACTGGAGCAGCTCGGAAACGGCGGAGGAGTCAGAGCTCAAGCCATTGGTGGAGCCAGAAGCGTTGGCCGTGTTGATGCCCCAACCGGCCACGATACCCAATGTGTTGGGAAGAGGAATCAGGACATTATCTTCTACACCAGGCTTTGGAAGACAGACAGGTCGTATTAACGCAGACAGCTCCACCCCCTGGCTGAGTTTAACCAGAGCTATGTCGTTGTTATAGTTTTGAGGATCAAACTGAGGATGGAGGATGACTTTCTCTACGGACCGATTGGTTGCCATGTGCTTTTCCCGTACATCCGTGAAGCCCAAGTGCACTTGGATGTGTTCAGAAGCGACAGGGATGACGGAAAGATCACGGCGATGAGATCTGAGCACGTGAGCGGCTGTGACAACCCAGGTTGGGGAGAGGAGAGCGCCGCTGCCAAACCAGCGATCCTCTGGGACACGGGACGCATCCTCCACTGAGAGCAAAGCCTGCCAGGGGAACAGACCGGGAGGTGCTGTTCTTCCACCAACGATCGCTTCTGCTGAGCTGGGAAGAGCTGTGACGGCTCACCGCATGCTTAAATGAAAACAGGTATAAGTTTACATTGATATGCATAACCAAGGCTACATTTGATTAAAAATACATTAAAAACTGTAAAACTGTGGGATATATTACAATTTAAAATAACACTTTTTATTTATTCCTGGAATAACAAAGCTGAATTTTCAGTAGCCAGTGTCACATGATCATTCAGAAATCATGCAATCAAGCTAATATGCAGAAATGTAATACATTATTTTTGAAGTATGAGCTTTACCAAGAGGAGTGCTTGCTTGTGGAGTAGGTAGTTGAGAATCAGGATTGGGACTCAAGGTTCTTTCAAAATCTCCTACCATAAATACACACAAAACAGAAACTTATAAGCCTACTCTAGTCATGTACAGTAGTAGGTTAGTACACAGTTACCGTGCTTAAAGGATTAGTTCACTTTTGAAACAACTTTTGCTGATAATTTACTCACCCCCATGTCATCCAAGATGTCCATGTCTTTCTTTCCTCAGTCGAAAAGAAATTAAGGTTTTTGATGAAAACATTCCAGGATTTTTCTCCATATAATGGACTTCAATGGGAACCGGATGGTTCAGGGTCCGAAAGATAGTGTTAACAGTTTCAGATGCAGCTTCAAATGTCTTTAAACGACACCAGACGATGAATAAGGGTCTTATCATGCGAAACGATCGGTTATTTCAAAGCTTATTCCAAAAATGTAACTTTTCTAAGGACAAATGCTAGCCTTTCTCCATTCTGTGAGGCGCGTTTGCAACGTCACGTAATACGTAATTACGTTCAAAAGGTCACGGGCGACGTAGCCAGAACTACAGAGTCAGAGTGTTTACAAGTTGAACGCATAGGTTGAACGTGAAAACTAACTCAAACGCCGTTTACAAAAAAGGAATTAAAAGGTAAAACAACGATGTCGGACGATTTTGATTCTGTACTTCCGGCTACGTCGCCCGTGACCTTTTGAACGTAATTACGTATTACGTGACGTTGCAAACGCGCCTCACAATATATTACAAGGCTAGCATTTGTCCTTAGAAAAGTTACATTTTTGGAATAAGTTTTGAAATAACCGATCGTTTTGCATGATAAGACCCTTATTCATCGTCTGATATCGTTTAAAGACATTTGAAGCTGCACTGAAACTGTTATTAACTGTCTTTCGGACCCTGAACCATCCGGTTCCCATTGAAGTCCATTATATGGAGAAAAATCCTGGAATGTTTTCATCAAAAACCTAAATTTCTTTTCGACTGAGGAAAGAAAGACATGGACATCTTGGATGACATGGGGGTGAGTAAATTATCAGCAAAAGTTTTTTCAAAAGTGAACTAATCCTTTAAATGCAAAGCCCTGTTTATAATAAAATAAATAGAATAGGCATATGAGTGATTTTAATATACTGTAAGTGACTCTCTGTAACACACCTTACCTGGTAGACAGGTGGGCAGTGGCGTCCCATCCTCACTCACCCATTCCCCACTCTGATGACAAGTGTAAGTGTCTGTAAGGTCAGAGTCAAATCCACAGTGACATTTAATATGATTTGACTTTAATGCATCAATGACTGAAAGTTAAATACTCACTGTTGAACTTGACAGAGTCTCTACAGCTGTACTGGATTCTGGATCCAAACACAGTACTGTTTCCAGAACTCTCAAAAACAACCTTACCCAGAACTACATCTACTGGACCACAGTCAACCACTAAAGGAGAAAAGAAACCAAGTAAGTGTAATAATAGCCATATTTGGATTCCTTGGAGGAAGATTTTGGGTTGATTCAAATTTAGATTTTTATTATCAAAGAGAATCTTCAAAAGTACACTCTCAGAATTTATGATCTAATTATTAGAATTGCATTTTACTCAAATTTAAAGGTTTGACAGGATGCATTATTTGTTTGATGGATTAGATGGCAGGAATTATTTGAGCAGGCGGTGAAAATTGTATGATTTGCAGAATGTTAGGAATGAATCTTAAATTAAAGAATAATGACAGGAATTCTCAAATATGATTGGTGGATTTTACAGAAGGACTCTTGATGGAAGGGATTTAAAGGGTTATTTCACCCTGTAATTAAAAGATTGTCATAATGTACAGACCCTTCAAACCTGTAAGACTTTCATTCATCTTCACAACTGAAAAAATGAAGATTTTGCAATAAAATACGAGAGCTTTCTGTCCCGCCTTTGACAGTCTACGCAACTACTACTGTCACTTCAAAAAGTCCATAAAGAGATAGTGAAACTAATCCATATGAATCAAGCGGTTTAGTCCAAATTGTTTCTGAAGAAACATGATCACTATATCATGAACAGATTGAATTTAGGCTTTTATTCACATTTAAACATTGATCTGAGATACATGAATAGAAGCTAAACCGTGCTAGATGAGCTCAAACGTGCTGCGTGACATGAGAATTAATCTCATTGGTTCTCGCTGAAGCTCAAATGTGCTGCGTAACACGAGAATGAACCTCATTGGTTCTTGCTGAAGCTCAAACGTGCTGCGTAACAAGAGAATGAACCTCATTGGTTCTTGCTGAAGCTCAAATGTGCTGCGCAACACGAGCAAGCTTGAGCTTCCACAACTGATGTGTGAGGTTTATATGTGAATAAAAGACTAAATTCAATCTGTTCATCATAAAAAGCAATCATGTCTCTTCAGAAGATATGGACTAAACCGCTCAATTCATATTAGCTTTCCACTATTTTTATGACCTTTTTGAAGCTTCAGTCATTGGTGTGTAGCTGTCAATGGAGGGACAGAAAGTTCTCAGATTTCATAAAATTATCTTCATTTGTGAAGATCATGTTGTCTTACTGGTTTAGTAAGACATGATGGGGAGTAATTAATTCAGAGTTTTCATTTTTGGTGGGACTAACCCTTTAATTTGGTGAAGAAAAAATGTAACCATTTACAGTAAAGATCACACTCATACCAAACATTAAGTCTTCACTCTTCCACATGAGTTGTCCTTTCCCAACAGATGAGGCAGCTTTGCAGTTAGTCCTGTCTGAAAGTCTAAGTGCATTTATGTGTATGTACTTCTGTCTCAAAATGAACCTAATAGTAAAAGTAATGTGTACTATTGAATAACAGATATAAAAATATGTATAAAAAAACTAAAGATCATGTTCACATCCATACAGTACAAGTGTAAACTCACTGTTTTATTTCAGCACTAGTTATGAAACAACATTAATAACCAGTAGATGGAGACATTCTATGATTAAATTCAGTGT